GAAGGAAGGAAGGAAGGAAGGAAGGAAGGAAGGAAGGAAGGAAGGATTATTTAATGCAATGAAAATGCAATTTTTGAAAACCTAACATGTATGTATTCTTAATTTGGCTAAAATGTTACGATGAATAGAGTTGAATGAGACTTGAGACCAAACACTGCAGCAGCAATTCAGAAAGAAGTTTCAAATTATGTACACAGTTTAACAATTTGTTATACAAAATAGTTTATAAGCTGAGAGTATGTTGTCAGAAAAACTACAACTGGCCATCAGACCAAGGTTTAGTCATCAGATCAGGTTTAACCTAAATACAGATCCCTAGATAATAAAGAGACGTCCAAAAACCCTACAGTGTCGTCATGACACCTATTGTGTGATATTTTAAATGTTGTTATGGAATATCTGCACAATCGGAATAAGATTGTTCATTTGAGGTACACAGACACTTGAATAAAATGGTGGAATTTCAGCATTTCCAGAGATTTGCCTCTAGTCTGGTTTTAAAATATAAATTTGAGAACAGTTTCTGGATGTGGTTCATGAAAGGTGACTGTGAATGCTGATGGGGTCTACTCATTGTATTTTATACAACTACCTTGTCCTCTTTCCTGTTTAGTCTTCATTTCTGACATAGATATCTGTCAGATAGTATGTTTCTTCTTATCCATGCTACTTATCCACATTTCTACTTATTAATGCTATTTTCTTATATATTAGAAGCTCCTAAATCTATATTACTTTGGAACCTTTTTGGCTGAGCTTACATGTTTTGGAAAGTTTTGCAGCCTTACGTAAAGATAAAATATGTATACCTTTAAATAGGAAATAAGCTTTTGACCACTATGAACAACCCCTATAAAGCATGCAAATTGACTGAGGGAGACCACCAAGTTCCAGCACACAGAAAACCAAGTCCTGCTCCTTCAGTCTCATTTACCTGCAGATGGAGGGGTGGACCTCCAGCCTCCTGATGATGCGTTCCCTCCTTTCCTGCAGTGCAACATAATGCAAAACTTTATTATGCGTGATAAATCCCCTTAGGAGGCAATTTAGGGAGCACCAAATTTAGCTCAACACATGAGCAAAAACTATTTTTATCATTACAAAGTTTTCAACAGGCCAAAGCTGTAGAAGAAGAGCATATTAAATCAGGGCACAGATAGTTAAAAATACAGAAAGGTGGAAAATAAATCTGTGAAGGCTGAGCAGACTCTGACCTGGCAGCTGCTTTCTGTTCTTGTTTTATCCGCATGGCTTCCAGTTTTACCGGGCTTGGAATGAATGTGATGTCAGCCCCTTCTTTCACCAGTCGACCAATCCACCAGTCATTGTTGTATTTCTGAAATGCAGGCAAATAAATATTTGGTAATTGTTGATATGCCGTATTTCAACAATTTACTTGCTATTGAATATTATCTAAACTCTTAACTGTTCTCACCTCTTTTATGTGCAGAAAGTCTTTGGTTTCAAAATTAATAGCAGCACCTTGGACTGGACAATCTTCATCAAGGGCCCCACAGTAACTCACATTGGTTTTCACTGCAAATGCTACTGGCTTGGACTGTTGCGGACAAGTACATAAACTTAGCAGCAATATTCTGGATCCATAGACAGAGATACTACCATGGAAATAAAGATAAATATGAGAGGAGTCTTTGATTCTTGGCCTCTTACCTTGGCTCTTTCCAGCTGCAGCTGAGCCTGGCGCTCGGCTTCACGCCGAGACGCCTCCTGGTCTTCCTCCAGGGACAGGTCGGAATCAGAGGGTCGACTAGTGTAGGAATCGGCTGAACTCTGAAGAAAGGTGCAAAGAGAACAAGGTCATGTTCAAATTAAACTCTCTGAAGTAGAGGAGGAGATTAATCCATATCACATGGAAGGAATTGTCTACAATTAATTAGAAGAGAAGATAAACAGCAAAGATCCTGCCTCAGACAGATAATCTATATCCGCCATGTCTGCCCCGTCGTACACCTGTCCCTGCACCTGCCCGTCCTTTCCTGCAGCTTTCCAAAGCAGCTCTTCCCATGGGAACATGATGTACATGAGTACTGCAACACTAACAACCAACACAACCTTCTCTGTTTATCCACTTCACCCAGACACAATGGCTTTTTGAAAAGGCCTGTCAAGACAAGTTTGACCAAATCACTTTGCAATATCTAATTTATTTTTTTCAAGTTTCTTTGAGT